ATATTGAATTATTCTTTTTTTTTAAAAAAGTAAAGTAAAATCAACTATTTATATTACTTTTGCTAAAGTATTCTTTTATTATTATTTTTTTTTCTAGTTCTGGTTCTTAAATATTTTTTAATATTATATACTATATGTAATAATAAATTTTTAATATAAATAATTATAAATTTTTATAAAAAAAAACATTATTTAAACAATATATTTATTCTTAAGTTAATATTTATTTATTATATATTAAAATTTTTGGATATATTGCAATATTATATCAAGTAGATAAAAATAGTTTATTTTTGTTTATAAATAGTTAAGTTGATATTGGAATAATAAAATTTTTATTAATAAAATTTTATTGTATTGTTTGAATTTGTAAAATTATAAAAATAACTTTTGTTTATTATTGTTTTGATTTTTGAATTTTACTATTATTGTTTAAATTTGTAAATTATACAATAACTGTTTAAAAACTAAATAAAACATGTAAAAAACTCAATATTTTTATATAAGTATAATAGCATTATTATTATTATAAGTTAAGATTGATTTTATTTTTATTGAGATAAATTATTAAGATTTGATTAATTATTGAGATTATATTAATTATTTGAAAAGATAGAATTAATTTTGATTTTTTTTATTAATTAAAAAATTAAAATTTTGTAAATTTTAAAGTAATGTGATATCATACACAGTATAATAAAAAAATAGTTAAAAGAATTTGATTGAAATAAGCAAGAGATCTGATAACTTTGCCTGAATATAATTTTAAAAATAAATTTATAATATTAAAGGTTGAGGTAAGAATGGTATTGTTGGTTTTTAAAAAAAGTAAAAATACATAAAACCAAAGTTAAAAAGAAGAATTATTGGTACAACAAGGATTCTTAAAATTCTTATGTTTTGAACTTATAGCTTATATAGCATATAGAAAAGAGAGTGGAAAGTGCTTTTATAAAGAAAATTATTATAAAACATTTTTTCAAAGAATTAGTAGTGAACAGGTGAGAGTTTTTTTTTTATATAATTTAATATATTATTGTTTGATATAATTTATTAATATTTAATAATTAATATTCAAAAACATATTTTCGAAATAATAGTTACATATTGTTAACTTATTTAATAGACAGACAATGATAACAAAGGAATCCACTTAGATCAATAATAATTATTACAGAAGTTTTCTTTCTTATAATGTAATATACAGTATATATTATTTAGTCGATTCTACTTTCTTTTAATCGAATTTTTTAAACTAAATTCGTGATCTTTACACCGTTCTCATGGCACGCCGCGTACCATTCATCTTCACATTAGAGGATTTGTTCGCGAAGTAAGAAGTTTAGAGATGGGCAGGTTGAAAGGCAAAAGTAATATCGTCCGATCAAATTTGTAGTACATACTGTAATCTATATTATTATTATTATTATTACATATACAGTACCTGTAGATTTACCAAAAAAGTAAGGCTAAACTATTATCCAACGAGACCCGGTTTTGAACAAGAACGCTTAGCTTTTCACATACATTTTTCAATTGTTTTTTTTAAAAGGAAAATTCGATTGTTGGATTAATGCGTAAAGATTTAATTAATAATAAACACAGCCATTGTCGTCTCCAGAAGGTGATTAGGCTTCGGATACGGGTCCTTTTCACCGTCTCTACGCGAATGAGAGAGAGAATTGATATATTTATTTCTCCTCCCAATATTGTCCTATCTCACTAAAGTATGTTAGTACGGCAGGGCACAAAAAAAAATTTTTCTGCACCCTGTTTTCAACAAAAAAAAGTTTTTGTTTTGGTCGCATAAAGTTTTAAACCGATTCGTGTATGAATTATACCAGGAACATGTAATTGTTATACCATTTTTTTTGTTTTCTGGTGGATGGGAGGAGATAAAAGAGAATTGGAATCGCAATAGGGAGCATTCTTCTATTCTCTGGAAATCACGTAACATGTCCTTACAGAATCGAGTTAAATTTCATTCATTCACTCACCATAACCCCAATACATTTCCTCACGCGAAACAAAAATTTCCACCCTCTTCTACCTTTTATGCTCATTGTGCGTCAACTTCTGAGCAAACGCCCGGCTTTAGACGTCAGGTTCGTCAGGTTTTGACTACTAAAATTCTCCAAACCGAACTTGTCAAAGGAGAATCGACAAATAAAGAGTTTCACCTCGTAGAGGATGACATCCCATCTACACTGCCTTCGCTCTTCCAGCCCATCAAGGTTCATCGAAAAGTTTACGATCGCAATAACACAGCAATCCTTAACCAGACGGTGGAACACTTTTATAATGTCTTGAAGAAGATTTCTTCCTCGCACGCAATTGAATCGGCAAGAATATGGATGAAAGATTATGAACAATATCGACGACAGGTTCTTAGTGAGGTTGAGAATGAAAATGACAGTGTAGGTAATAAGACCTCGAAGGGTGATCTTGTTCGTAATTTTTACAGTTGTCTAAGATGTGAAAGAGAGCAAAGCGAAATTTAAGGAAAGTACCAGAGAAGAGGTTGACTTCTAAGGTAGATTGTGAGATCATTGTGTAAAATAGTAGGTCCCGTGTAAATTCTATTGCAGCGGTTTTTATCTTTCGCGCGAGTTCTTTTTGCATGTTCCCCTTTCCTGACTAGCCATAATGGGACAGTGTCTCTAAGGAACAATTAATCAAACCTTTATCGGATCGAATTAACACTTGAATCGCGAAGCAATAATTTCACGTAAAACTGCGTCACATTTGTTACTCGTGCAAAAAAAAAATCACAAGATAACTAGAAATACAGTAATTATTTTAATAAAGATTTTTATACAAATATTATTACAGGGAATATAAATGATTAGTTAATGTACAATATATTGATTTTTTCTTATTAAGTAATTTACATTTTTTCACGTCCACTTTTTATTTACCAACCAGCATACCTGCTCCTTTTTGCATCTAAAAGGGACCCCTCGACGCGCGACTTACTATTCGATTCATCCGAATCGTCACTATCCAAATCACTATGATCCTCCTTCTCACCATCATCATCATCATCATCATTCAACTGCACATTTTCATAGCCACCGAAAACTGCTCTACTAGTATCATTACCAAATACCGTTTCTCTCCTTATGGAATTCGTTATTGTTATTGATTGTCGCCGATTCTCATTTCCCGAATTATTCATATTCAACAACTGAGATTGTTCACCGTCATTGTCTATATTTTTTGGATAATACACTCCAACTTTATCACTGCTTTGGATTTTCGTTCTTGAACTGCTCTCTCCTCTTTGATACTCATTCTCATCAACAAAATTGCGTTTCTCCTTTGCGGCAAGTGGCGGCAATGGTATACTGCTCCTCTCCGTGTGCGTTACCGGTATCCTCGGGTAATGCCACGGTGAAAAAACGTCTTCCGGTGGAGCAATTAAATGTTCTTCGCTCCCTTCATTTTCTTGATTCATGCTTCCCTCAGTTCGAGTGCTTTCTGTGCCCAACGCATTTTTTTCGCTTCCTCTATTTGAAGCGTTGTCGTTGTCAGCGGTTATTTGCTCATAAAACCGATAAATATTACCGAGAAGCATTACAGAGCATAGTAACGAAGCGGACATCAAGTTTAGGAAAGGTATTAACTGATAATTCACACACAGTATGACATAAACTATCTAAAGGGGATGACAGTGAGATGAAGTATATGTTAAGAATTTCTATATGCAAAACAATCGCCTTTTCAATTGCATATTCTCTCACCTGAACAATCAGTTGTGGTGTGTCCTCAATCATGAAGTTTATAATCCCGCACCAGAAGATCCATCTTTTGGCACCTTTTGACAACGGAGCGTCGAACGCTCGCAAACCCGCCAACCTAGAATGTATGATAGTAAGGGATTCGATGTCTATCGCAGCGGATAATGAAAATATCGCCGCGATATTGTGATAGGTACGAAACCACTTGGCAAAATAATTTTCGTAGGTGATTTCGCGGATAATAACAAAAAAGCTTGTCATGGCGTTGAATGCTATAGAGCTAATCATGAACACCAAACTGTAATCAAGGAAACAAAAAAACGGTGAGAAGTGTGTTTGATATCGGTCCACCGTAAACAAAGAAATGCGTAACGTACGTAGGATAGAACAACAAATAGATATCATGCGCGTGAAACCACACAAATAACACGTCTAACACAAAGTCCACCCAGATTAATAATAATTTGAACACAAATAAACCATTTCCCTAGGAAATATCCAATGATGAGAGTTAAATATGGACCGTGATCAATGTAAAGCATCTGTTAAGAAGAATGCAAATTTTTTTTTACTTACATAGTTGCGATCCCTATAAGAAAGCAACGCGAGAACGGCGCATAGTAGTAAGATCGAACCGAAACCAAACAATCTAAGTTGGTATCGTTCCCATACGGTTTCTGGAAATTCAAATTAAGAGAGTGTGAAATTATTTCAGTTCACGAGGTCACCCTAAAGATTCTAACTACTTACGTGTTACCGTGAATCCACGATCACTATCCAACAACGAAGCATTTGGATACAACATCACCGACGACACATTCTTAAAGCTAATCAGTAAGTTTAACGCCTCGGCCACAGCAGTTACACTCCGATCTTGAGTATCATTTGTACCCTTGGAAATCTCGAGCTTAAATATGACCTGCATGTTGGAATCCCATTGCCATTTGTCAATAATTTGCAGTCGATAGGGTGAAAGGGAAAGTATAGTACAGAATTCAGAGGTCATGGGCCGAAATAAATCGATGGTAAGTGCATTTCCCCAATATCTGTTCGATGCCTCTCTCGTCAAGTAAACAATGCCGCGCACGTTTTCTTGCGGGTGCCAGATGATGAGATTAGCGATGGAGATTAAACTGATCGATAGGAGGAACGATCATAAAGATTAAAAATCATACCTTCTAGTGGTTCCGACACTTTGCCCCCTGTAAAATAAAATCAAAGACACGAAATAGATCATTTTTCTTTCACCCTTTTCCTTTCCAATTCCCTAAAATAAATCATCAATACTAACCAGTAAGTAGATACCGGGATGTTCCTAATAACGGCTCATTATCCGACGCATCCCTCACGAAATCATTTTCAATCTCTACAAGATATCTCGCGTATGGTGTGAAGAACGTACTCCCTAATACTTTTAACAGTAACGTCTGATTGTCGGATTGCGTGACGTACGCAGTATCCCGAGCGATATATGATTGTTTCAATATCTTATTGGTCGAATCTTTCTGGTTGATCTCGTATATCGAAAATTTGCCCGTTGATAACACCACGGAAATGGGGAAGTTAACAGTGATCCTTTGCGTACCCAGTACCACGGTATCATTTGGAATAATGACGATACTTTCGTAGATATCTGATTAAAGAAATGTTATGGTTAGCCGATGTACGTTGTGCATATGAATTCAATCAGAATACATTGAATGGTTAACCCCACCGAGAAGAGCAGACTTCGGTATGAAGAACGTCGAATAATTCCAACCGTCACCTGCCGAGTTCGATTCATAGATCATCCACAATGTATTATTGGGGAACACACCGTATAACAGCGACGTATTGGCCGGAAACTTTGAAAAATTCGAGCTGTACAAGTACTTCCCAGTTAAATTATAGATATTCCCCGAGAAAGTTAAATCTGTGCCGTTCCTGGACCCGCTAAACCCGGTGAACAGATATTCTCCACCAATCAATGGCATTATTCGATCTACCGAATATGTCGAGTTACTGAAACTATCCATTGGAAAGTAATCCTTGACTGCACCACTGGAGAGAAATGGTATGCGGACGTAGAAGGTGGTCGTATCATGGGCAAATCCTAATATACACTCTATACCAGTTTCATTATTGGTGTTGGTGCACATTTCAATGTAAATGGGAACCGTGTTATCATACAAGAGGATCTCAGGTGTTGGTTGAAAGGAGTCTGGACGAAGGAATCTTGCTTTCACTTTCCATGGACTGACAGAGCTTGGAGATTGATCAACCGTTACAAGACAATAACCACCATCTGCGGTCGATATCACAGAGATATTAACTGTCGTTGGTAATTCAAGGGTGAATGGTTTCGTGGTATTTGCACTAGGTGTACACACCGAAAATAGGAAAAGAATGAAGGATGAGTTCAAATGAATTGATTTTTAATCTTAATTAACGCGTGATGTTGTGATGTAAAAATATTTATTAACTGATAGACATTCATCCATCGAACGAATGATCTTATTTGAAAGTTCACCCAGATCAAGCCTTTACTAGGATTAACATTTGATACCGCACGACCTAACACTGATGTATCTCCACTCGTCATATTTATTGGGCCTAAGTTTATTCTGTCAATATACATACATAAATGTATGCATTGTATATTGAGTACATGTGTAAGTAAATTGATCAAATGAGAACGTGTTAAAAAAGATCTGAATACCTGTCGTATTGTATATCCCCTTTCTCGTTAATAACCGTCCCTATCTCTTGATGCGTATAAGATTCGCCGCCAGTAGAAATTCTCACATACGCGATTAAAATATAATTCGGAGCCAACGGATAAATCCTAATTAAATCTTGAGGAATCATCGTAACATTCTGTACTCTCGTGACGTTCCGACAAAAATTAATTCTATCAATCGATACATTTGGTTCAACCTTGGTAATATTACCGTCGGAAGACACCACCCTTAGGTAGAGTTGCGGTACGCTACAGAAAAGTCCTGCGTCGGTGGATGTTTCGTTAAGAGACAATCGAAGTATGACCGAGCTTCCGTCTGGGTAACTTGCGGCGCTACGCACATGATAGCCATTCGATTCTGAATACGATAATTCACCTCGTTTGATTAGCGCTTTAAACGATGTTTGAACAGCGGATATATTGTATGACGAGGGATGGTGCACGAACTGTAAAGGAGAGGTACTCTGTATTAAATTTGGAGATGAAGTGGGTCGGTTGATACGAGTTCCGGGTGAAGTGGAAGCATACGAATCATGAGTATAAAACTTGGTATCAGTAATCGAAGCTGTAGGATCAGAATGTGTAGACTCCGAGTATGTCGTCACAGGATATGTAGACTCAGAATATGTCGTCTCAGAATATGTAGACTCAGAATATGTAGACTCAGAATATATCGTCTCAGAATATATAAACTCAGAATATGTCGTCTCAGAATATATAAACTCAGAATATGTCGTCTCAGAATATATAAACTCAGAATATGTCGTCTCAGAATATGTAGACTCAGAATATGTAGTTGAGGGTGTAGTAGAATCAGTAATCGAGCTAGGTTCGGTAATAGATGACGTAAAATCAGCGACAGTGATTGAGGATGCAGGGTCAATTGGATTATTATTAGTATTGGTTGAATCGATGAAGGTGGTGGGAGTATTTGGTGTAGCAATTAGTGATGTATGATGATGAGAATGTGTATGACGAGAATGTGTATGTTGAGAATGAGAATGTGTATGTCGAGAATTTTTATGCCTATGCGTACGATTGGAATGTGTGTTATGATAGTGTAGGAATTCTTTAGTTGAAGACAAGAATTCTTCAGATATGTCATTTGACGACACAACATTTAAAAGTAAAACCAGAAAAATTGTTAGGTATGATGTATTCATCGATAGTTCGCTTTGTCGAAGAATAGGGAGAAATGAAAAATCGGATAAAAAAAAAAAGGAAAAATTTTTTTTTATTTTTGATTACCAAAACACAATACGCTAAAAACCTTCAAATAGAATTGTGATTTTGCCTTTCCCGGAGGGAGTAATCATGTTCCGCCATGAGGTGATATTATTCACGTGATATAAATCATATGTACCAACTCCGGGACACCATTATCTTGAAAATTCTTAGAAATCCAAAAACTCGGATGCTGTGTACTCTATCTAGTCCGTCTGCAATGCCCTAAAAGTAAAGTACAGTAGGTAGACACACGCAACGTATGTGGTGTGACGTGACCACCGTAAATCATCAAAAAGGTGAGATCAACTCTTTGATCAAAAAAGCAGCACCGACCGAGTTTCGAAAAATGTCAAATAACCTGCCGGAACCAGATCTCTACATAGGTGAATACATGCATAAACGAATAATAAATTCTCGGCTGTCTCATCTACTTAAGCTCTATCATCAATTAATACCATCTGGTTATTCGAATTACCCGAATTATCATGTTTTTCCCAAGATTACAAGTCTTTCCTATCAAATGATTTTGATCCCAAGGAATACGCCAATTCTACAATAAATTCGACATCGGATGGTGATGGAGATATCACAATTTCTCTGGCCAAACTGTCATTTGGTATAGATAACTTAAATAAGCAACTGCATGATCAGGTTCGTTTCGATGCTTTTTTCGACTGGTCAAAAAAAAAAAAAATCATCTGGTTAATTACTTTTTTTTCTTCAGGTGACCGCACATTTCGAGGATTTGATAACGCAAGCCGCTGGAATTCGAGATTTGGAAAATGTTCTAAGCACAGTTAAAGAGGGCGTGAAATCCCTCAATGCTGCCTTTGACAGGTAGATATCATTCGTTCGTTAGGACTCTTAAAACATCCACATCTTTGACAACAAGAAATCTTTTAATCATCACACCCAATCCAGGCTCAAAGAAAATATACATACTCCATATGCGCAGATAAAAAATTACACTTTGCAATTAGAAAGATATCAAACTGCTTCCGATTTGTTGCGAAATGTCGTGAGATTATTTTATTTAGCAAGATGTTTAGAAAGTCAAATGGCAGAAATCGACAATAAGAAAGAAAATAGGATTGAATATTTTAAGGCGGCACCTATCATCGGTGAATTGGGTATGAAAAACGTACACAGGTTGCTCCCATAAACTCGTCAAGGTTATGTCTTCAAAGTTCTACTTCTAATTAATGTTCTATCTCAATTCGTTTCGTTGTCAGATATACTTTTGAAAGAAATAGATTTTGAAGGAATTGAACTTGTGCAATCTCAACTACCATCAATTAAAAAAGCAAAATATAGAATAATCAGTGAGGCATTTCGAATGCTACAGGAAGGAATAAATAGTCAAGTGAGCATCTTGTATACGATACCGCGTTTTTTTTTTTTTATTTTCTGAAATTTCGATATTTAAAAAGAACGAAGAGGAGATCAAGATCAGTCTGCAAATATTCAATGAACTCCACGATGTGGGAGAGCGTGTTTCAAAATATGTGGACGATGTGTCCGAAAAGTTACTGATTCAAATTAAGAATGCAATTGATGTCGCATCACTTCAAAAGGAGACGAAAGGTAAACACGTAGAAAACCAATTTCTTATCGCGATATTAAATTTTCTCGGATGCTGATAACAGTCGTTTAACATATAGACGCCGGAAACACCTCAACGAAAGGAATTAGGTGGTTAGGAACGGAACCGCTTATGGGCATGAATGTGGCATGGACCTCGACGTTATGGAGAAGAATGGAAGTATTGATGGACGAGATCTGCGAGAGTTGCTGCAAGGTTGCTTGTATTTCCTGGCTCCACTTTTTATTTGTTTCATTTCTCATTAGCTAAAAATTTTGGGGATTTTTAGATATACATTTTGGAGAAGGTGCTTTCGGGCGAAAGAGATTCAACGACCGGGTTGTCATATTTAGACGATGTCAACAATGTTTGTTAGATTTTAACATGCAGATACTGTGTATATGTATTAGTGAAAGTTTTCTATCTTTGCATACGATCTTTGATGATCTTGATTTTTTTTTACTGACTCTGATGAAACATTAGGTATTGGATGGCGGATTAATACAACATTTTTGGAAGCTCTTATCCTTGAATTTTGGAAAAGAGTTGAAGGAAGCTACCAAAGGTAAGAGGACATCTTTATTCTCTTATCAATTAGCCATTATAGATTTTTTCAATAAAAATTCGATTATTATTACTATTTGATCAGGCTTCGCATTTATTCAACAATCACTTGTTAACGGATATCCAAAGTTACTTCGTCTGATTCGCGATTTCTTTAAAAAACTTGAAGTCCGGGGATATTTAAAACTTGATGATGTTCAAAGGTGAAATTGGCTGTTGATACTTGTCTCTTTATCTTAATTAGAGTCTTGCTTTATCATCATAATCATAACCATTATATTATTACTATTATCATGATCGTTAGCCAAGAATCATTAATAATGCTACAAAGCATTGCAACTTTTGAGATGGGATATTTGGAGCGATCCGTCATTCGATTGTTTGAGCCCGTCAATGTAGCTTTCCCGACGGGTACCTATCGCATATTCCCTTCGAAATCTGACGTTACAAATCTAGTTCGAACCATCTCGAGGTATGATCCGCGGAATTTTACAACGATCTTGTTCATCTTTTAACCACCGTTCGCTTTACATAGTGAATTAGAAGTGGCAAAATTTGATTCACACTTGTTACATGCTGTTGCAAAGAATGTTGTCAAGGCTTTGAATCTCTATTGCACCAAGGCTGAAAATATGGTACTTTAATTCTTACTCCTTGACATAGTCAATGTATTCTATTGAACCTTATCATATATACCACATCACAGGTTGCCGGGGATGTTACTGCATATCAAGTAACCGGTCCTGGACCGTGTACGGCTTCGCAAAACATCAATTTTGAACTCATCAATGCATTATATAGTTTACATCAGTCTGTGTGGAAAGTGCTTGAAGAATATCCAGACGACATAACCGAAGTAGTATTTGATGCTATTGAGGTAAGTGAGATGTGTCTGATCTTTCATTTAATTATATTACCAGAAGCTGATGATTTTTATCCATTAAACTGTAGCACACTAGAAAAGTGATGATTAGTATCGTCGATCCGTTATTCCAACACATAAAAAAGGAACTTGAACTTATCATTCTCAAAATTCACAGGGAGGATTTTTCAAGGTAAATAATATTACCTTTCTCTCAAAATGAGCTTACAACTGGAGTTCTCTTGGTAGTAATGATGAAATGAACATAGGCAATTAGCAAAAAACCTTACTCTTCCTCAACAAGCGGAGGCACAGTGTAGCGCGTATATGATTGAACTTTCGGATCGCATGAACTACATCCAAAAAGAATTACTATCAAGAATCTCATGTGGTTTAAATGGCAAGGAATGGTGCGCATTTGTTTTTCACTGCAATATCACGGTGAACTTCTTTGACACATTCGAAAAAATATCATAAATTTAGGTCCAATGAGTTAGGAAAAAGGATTCTTTATTTTTGGATGTTGCACGCAAGTTTGGTTCGTCCGTTGACTGAAAATGGAAAATTCAAATTAACTCGGGACATGGGTCAGCTAGAGTTTTCTTTAAATCAACTACTTATCGAGAACGGTTCAAGCATAGAAGAATTGAAAAATGAATATAACTCTTTGAGAGCCTTCAAGTATGCAAACCTTTCAACAATACCATCGTACTTTTTCTTAAATAATAACATCATCAAATCTTTTCAACTTTATAAACACCCAGACAATTATTATTTCTTGAAAGTTCTCAAATGGCCGAAGAACGGTACACGTTGAATTTGCCATTGTTGATATTGATTCATCATATAATAGTGAGATCATCCACGCCTACAGTTGCGCCTAATACAAACACCATAGACACATTGCAATTGCCACATAAGATTTATGGATGGACAGAGTCAGACTATTCCAAATGGTTGGATGAACATAATGAAGGTGAAGGCATAGATTTGATAAAAGGTTGTCTGAGAAGTAGTAAAGAGTTGGAGATGGGTGAGGAACAAGAATTGTTTGAAGAGAAGTTGATCAGAAAATTGTTGAAGGAAAGGGCAGGGATCGAAGTTTAACAATCAAGAGATATTGACATCTAGATCACCTTAGTGAGTTAACTTAATAGACTGTATTAACCGTCTTATATCTGAATTAATTTAATTTTTGTGTAACGATCCAAGTTAAAGAACGGGGATTTTTTAAAAAATTTCTAAATTTAATAAACTAGTAAAATTATTTTGATAGTACAAAAATTTTTATTATATTTTTGTTATTACAAAAACTTTATTGTTATATATTAATTAATACAAGTAAATTTATTTGATAATAAATTAATTTAACCAATTCATAAAAAAGTCTATTGTTTTGTTGTGTTTTATTTTATTTGTTTATTGTTTTTTATTTTATTTTATTTTTTTAATCCTGCAATCAGGTTGGTGTTGTTTATTTATTTAATCATAAAGAACCATTACAAGTTGAGAATCCATGTAAAGTATAAATTTCCCCGACCCAACTCAC